CACAAATATATACTAATAATATATGCATTCTTGAGCTCTAAAGCATGTTAAAACGTAAAACCTTTCTTCTTTCGGAACATTCTCTATGTTTTAACAAAAACCACAGTAACTTAATAGCTATAGGACCTTACCAATTGTAAATATCTCGTAAAGCAAGACTCCATAGCTCCACCTATGAAAACAAAAAGACACATATCTGCGGTTACATTTTAAATAAATAAAAATAAAAAGGTTCTGCAGTTTTTTACACGTAATACACATTTTTTTCACTTCTAGTTTAGAGATGAGAGAGGGATAGTTTTGCATCATTAACGCTGGTTAACCCAGTGACATTAACCGTCTTGCATGCTTCCTTCTTCTCACGTGACGCGAGATGAGCTTCTGTTCTGCAAATACCAAATTATTAATGCATATATAGAAAGTTGTCTTACACGTCGCTCTTGGTGGTGTATCGTCCGTAAAGCAGGGCTTCATATGCGGTCCACTTCACTGGTAAACGACCCTACATATGAACAAAGTAAATGACTATAAGACAAATGGACGACGAACATGGAATAGCGTATTGGCAAAAAGTAGGAGGAAGTGAAAGATGATGAAAAAGTAATGTACTTCCTTGCTTCCCTGCATCTTAGCAAAAAAGAAGGTCGGTAGAAAAATACACTCCGAAATAAAAGGTCAGAAGGCCATCTTAAAATTTTTAAAATAATGGGTTGCTGCAAAAATAAAACTCAGGCTTCGTTTACACGCAGCTTTCTTTTTTACACTTTCTTCCTGTCTTAGTGTGGAAGAACAAAACCCAACAAAGTTTCACTGCAACGTAGCCGTTCTCTAAGACTTTTATCAGGTATAAAGTTAGCAATCTTCTTTTATATGCAGCTGAATTAAAAAGTTATGCTTATACACCTGAAGTATGGAATCTAATCCCACGTTTTGGTGACAGGCAAAATAGTCTCTCTTATGCTTTTTTAGGATTGTCAAATGTTTTATCAACTTTACACATACTGCCTTAACTTCGTGGCCTATAGTTTTGGGAGCAACTCTTAAAGCATGAAACCTAGAAAGCAACGACATAATCAACAAAACCTTACGTATTTTCCTCCGCGGGTAATGGAAAGGATTGCGTGCCAGTCCTATACTGTAGGTTTGTTTCCAATATAATACAAACCTTTGTCTTCCTTTCATAAATATTTTGTTCTTGCACATCTCTTGCCATTCCAAAGTCTGTCACTTTACAAGTTTCATTTTCTCCAACCAGAACATTTCGAGCGGCAAGGTCTCGATGAATAATCTGCAATGTGAGATTTCATTTCACACATTTTTACATTTTTCATCTACATCAGTCCAGCCGGAAATAAGTTTTATGAAATCGCCATTGTCGAGGGGGTTTATCAAAACGCAAAAGCAAACGTAGCTGAAAGTGAGGGGACCTGAGTGTGTTCTTCACTGTTAGTATGTATCTAATTTTTCTTGGTAAAATGGAGACAGTCTAAACCAGACTCTGAATACATAATAGTCAAATATTTTAGCTTACCGCTCTCGATGAGAGGTAACTCATTCCATCAGCAACTTGCCAAGAAAACTTCATCAACTGTTGTGACGTCAGACTTGTTTGTGGTTTGATATCTGGGTCTTTGAAATAAGTGTCGTTTAATCCACGGCTCTTTCTCAGGTAACCCAGGAGATCCCCGTACGGAACATACTCGATCAAAACGAACAAGGGCTCTGAGTAAAAAACGATGTATTCATTTAGTCATTCACGGACAAAGAGACTTCACTCAGACTGAAAAAGGTACAATTAAAATAACAGGAATGACCCTTTACTTGCAGCATAGTAATTGGTGACTAAAGACAGCTTACATAAAAAATAACCTACCAGATTCGGTGACGCATCCAAGCAGTTTGATGACGTGCGGATGAGGCTTTAACGTCTTCATCACTTCAAGCTCTGATAACAAATCCTTCCTGTCGGAGTCCGGCGCGTCAGCTGAAAGGTGAGGTAAAGAGAGTTTTCATTGTGAATCGTTTGTGTTACATTCCTTTATTTTCCCGTTAGCCTATTCGTACATTATCAGTTACACAGTGATTAATCAAGTTATCTTGTACCTTTTAACATTTTGACGGCCACCTGTGTGACATGTTGTCTTTCACGTAGGCCTTTAACCTTTCCCCTGGCAACCTGACCAAAAGCACCTTTGCCAATTATCTTCTCAATAATCACGTTCTGGCGAAGAATCTCGTAAGAAATTGATGATGGGTTTAAAGGTTCATACTGGCTTAATGATGAAGCGTCAACTGACGGAATGACTTTCGGTGAGCCAGATGATTGGCGTTCCTTAACCAGTGGCATATAATGTCCAGACGAAACCTCTGAAGTCATTTGTCTCATGGAAATTTGTTCTGGTTTACGATTATCCACTTGCACGGCAGCCTTAAATAAACGAGAAAAGACCACTAAACTTGACTGTTTACTTTTTTGTCGATATCCGCCTTTTATGAGAAT